GCAGCTTTTTATGTCTCTGCAATTTGTTGCAGGACGTTACAGAAAATGTGGTGCAGTGAATTGGAAATTGCGTAAAATTATTGAAATGATTACAATTATTGAAATGTAAATGGCCAAAAGCTGTACTTAAGCATTCCTTAATGCTTGACAACCTCATAAGGGAGCTTGCATTGAGTCAAACTTGCTAGGCAGCTTAAAAAAAATCTACACAAATATTCTGTTCAAATTTTATTGCGTTCAGTTGATGCAACTGATCTGAAATGAAATAAGTAAATATAAAAGAAAAATATCTGAACACTTTCCTATGGAACTCTTAGAAGAGACGTAAGATAAGCTTGCGAAGCGCAAAAGCTCTGTACAAAATTGATTGAACTCAAAGCTTGAGAATAATAAGAAGAATATATTAAAGCTCAGAAACCAAGTAAACAGCAATAAAATGTCTGCAGGAACAGGCTATCGTCTGATCGTTTTTTTTTTTTTTTTTTTTTTGAATAGGCGATATTAAATTAATAAAATAACGTAATTTAAGATTCTTAATAAAATGTAAGAGAGCAAAAGTAAAAGAGCTTCAAGAGCACACGAGAGCTTTAAGTGCAATTAATTTGAATTTGATTTGCAGCTTAATGCTCAGTTAATTGCCCACAACTGTGCACTGCACTTTCTTATGAGCTCTCATTTATTGTTTCAGCTAGTGTCATTGGCACATTCAACTGATGTCACAGCACTTGCACACAATAACTAGAGCTCATTTCTTATCAAAATTACCACATGCATTAAGTGAGAAGTGCACGCGAGGCGCTGCTGGAGACTCTCAAGAAGTCAAACCCGTTGGCAGTGGCAGCAATTTTAATGCTCTGCTTATCACCGCCAAGGGATGGCTTGCAGAGCCATTCAGCCATTGTCATCATAAGCCATAAGCCGAAAAGGTTGGGAGGGGCTGCTGCTGCAGTGGCTGCTGCTTAGGGGTTAGCAACACGATCCTGCAGCGGCGACGGCGACGGCGACGGCAACGGCAGCGGCAGTCACCAAAATGCAACCCGGAAAGGCGCCAGTCATTGTCTGGCATTTGCTTTGCACTTCAGCGACGTTTGAGACAACAATGAGAAAAAACAAAAAAAAAAAAAAAACACTGAAAGCCCTGATAGAGCCAGAAAGAGTCGTGGCACGAGGCTAAAACCTGCCAGTGTTGAAAACAACGGAAATTTGCCTTTGGTGCTGTTAGTGTTTTCTTTTTTGACTCATACCCTGTAGCTATCACATGTTTGGAATAGGGTATACAATGTCCAAGAGGCCTTTAGCGATATGTATCGAAAATCTATTGCATTTTTTCCTGCTCAAGGCATATCTAATCGATAAATCTCGTTTGTGACCGCTTTTTAGAAATGGCTTAATATTAATTGTTATTTTAATAAAATACTGCATTATGCACTTTTTCAAGATCTTTTTCCATTTCCATCGACACTAATCAATATCTAATTGTATTTTATTCTTGATACATATGGAAAACTATGTAAAGGTTTTAGCAACACTTCATACATTGCTACGAGGTATATGCCAGTCGTGCACTCGCGGCATGGGCATTGTAACTTGTTTTTTGTCAATCTCCGCATTGGGTTACACACGGTTGCCAAACAAAAGAAAGCCCAAAGCCATGGCGACAAGCTCATGAGTGGGAGCAGCACAAAGCTGCTTATTGTTTCAATGGATTTAGCTGAAACCAGCGACTGCGGACTCTGGACTCTTTCTGCTTCAACTTGTGCTGCTGCTGCCTGCCTCTGAGTGTGGCAAAGTGCTGAAGCATAAGATGATGCAGAGCAGTCGATGCTAAAGTCCTCCACAGACTGTGTCCGTGCTGCCGTTTAGGGTGGCTGCACTGACGACAACTCACACTTGCCGCAACACTTGCCTCACATGCGTCTGTCAAGCTTCAAGTGGATGGCACAGCTTCAAGTTTTTTACTTTCCGCATACGCACACACACACACATATATATATATATATCTACAGAGCTCTCTCTATATATGAGACAGTCGCCTGTGCGGGTAACACACAACAAAACTCTCCATCTAAGTATGTTGAGCTCGGCTGGGTGGTCCTTGGTCCTTGGAATCTGTTTGCCTTCAAATTGATGCGCATAAAAATTGAATTTGTTAGCAAAATTGACAACTGAAAGTTGTGTGTTACGTGTTACGCGTGCAGCGTAAGCAAAATTTTTTTTATGCTCTACGTTTTACAAATTTATCTTAATGCTCTCGTAATGTGATGTCGTCTGACGCCAAAGCGAGTATAGACTGTACGGCAGCCAACTGACGATAGTTGCGCGTGCGACAGCAATTTACAAAAAATATACAAAACGGCAGCTAATAGAGCTTCATAAATCAGTTGGGATCTCTGCATAAAACAAATCTATTTGAAAATGTAAAAGGTAAGGTAAGGAGAGCAGCAAAAGTTAGTCCAAGTTGGCTGCACAGGGTTTAGTTAATACTTTTTTAGATTATGTTTGAGATGTTAAATTGGCAGTTCATAAAATTAAATTAATTGAGCAACTATATATATATATAACCATTGAGGCAGTTAAGCATATTACGCTTTATTTGCCATGTCGAAAGACCCCAATATATAAGAAAATTCGATTTTCGTTAACATAATTCGCAACCTTTGAGCAGCTGTTGCCAAATCGAGTTTATTGTTTATTGTCCCCGGTCTCTGAACTGGCAGCCCTTAAGCCGGAAACTGGCTGATTTCAATTTCTGTTGCTTATTTCAAGAAACTCAACTAAATCAAATGATAAATGCGGACTGTTGTAAAGTTGTTGCCAACTCGGTTTGGAACAATTTCTGGCTGAGGCCGGCATAAAAGCCGATGTTTAAAATCTTTATTTGCGCCAGCCATTTTTCAAAAGTACAATGGCAAACACAACCAACCCCACACACACACACACCCTCTATAAGCTATCCCCTTGCAATTTCTCGTTACATCTCTGCTGCCTGCTTTCATCGTGTGCATTGTCGCCACGGATATCCGCCATGTTGGCTGCTGCTTTGTGGCACGTTCCAGTGCACAGCAACAGCAACAGCAACAACAAGAATAACAACAATAACAACAGGGAGCACAACTTTCATTTATGTATTTGGTGTTATTTAAATCTTCAACTTTACCTGCACCGCTGAATAAGCCATAGAAAAGCGTTGCCAACAATGCCAAAGCTGGCAAATAGCAAAACTTGGCTGAAATGCAAAAGTGGCAGTTGCCAAGATGCCGCAAGGCTGCACTCATTCCCTCCTCCTCTGCAGGCACACACACACTTTGTTGCATTTTTGTGCAATCTGTTGAGCATATATCTGCATACATATATATGCATACACATATTTTTCATATGCATATATATACCTTTTTTGGCAGTCGCATTTCCTTTGCTTCTTAACATGTCTCTATTTGACGCGATTCTGGTCGCATCCTTTTTTTTCGAGCTTAATATTTGCCTGTCCAAAAAAAGGGGTATCCTGTTCTTTGTTGAAGGGCGCACTTTGTACCTGTTTACAATTCACTTTGCTGCACTTGAGAAATTACACATGCTACGCCCATTTTTCTGACGCCCTTGTACATTTTTCTTTTGCTTTTATTGCGCTCAAATTTCATTCTGGGTTTGCTGCTCAGACCTGGGGCTCGCTAGGCAAAGGGCAAGTAAATCGCCTGTCTTATTTGTCTACCACTACACTCTACACACCCATAGACGTTCCACATACACACATACATTCAGCCGCACACACTTCACCCACACACACACTCATAGCAACACACGCTTTTAAAAAGCGCCAGCGTCAGCATTGGGGTTCCTTTTGGATCCTTTTGTAGGGCTGCCTTGTTGTTGTTGTTGCTGTGGTTGTTGTTGTTCTTGTTGTTGTTGCTATTGTTGCTGTTTGCGCTAACCAACAACAACAACATGATTGGTATTTTCCGCTGCAGACATTTTGCAAAGGTAGCTAAGCCGACCCCCCGTTTCATTTTCTCTTTTTTATTTTATTTTATTTTATTTTTTTATGCCGACAGGCGGCTCTTTTATTGATTTTATTTTTTCAAGCTGTTCATTTTTGTGTACTTGCATTTTTTAAGCATTTTTACAGCTGAGGTCGGGGGTCAAAAAAAATGAAATTAGCAAGTTTTGTGCAATTTTAAGCGTAATTTGCTATTAAATTGAAACCTGTTTCAGACATATTCCAGGAATTCAAGACTAAAGAAAAGTGCACATAGTAAAGCAGCAATTTTACATAAGAGGGGAAATTCGATTTTAGAAAGCGATTCCGTCTTCAATTTCTAGGTTTATATTACCTTAAGACTATGTAAGTTTTGTGGTATATGCATATTATTTGGAAAATAGTCTTAATAATATGAATTAAATTTATATTTTGCGTCGAATGTCAGAGTCAAGCATATATATGTATGTGTGCAGAGCGTTAGGGGGATAGCTTAGAAAAATAGTTGTATATATAAATATAAGAATATACAGATGTATAAATTTATATATATAGAAGTATCTCGACAAACATACTAGTTGTGATATTTCAGAAGCTCATGAGACTTTCGCACTTGTGCAAAATTTCGAATAATTAGCTTTGGGGCACAACTGGAACATGCTGCCTTGGACTTATTTTTCAGCTCATTGCATTTACATTTGGCTTAAGTGAAATTCGAGCGCTTTAAATTTCCACGCGACGACAGTGGCTAGCCGCCTTTTGTTTTATTTTGGGGTAGGAGGTTTTGCAAATTTTGCATAGACTGTCCCCGCGCTCTGTTCCGTTTTCCCTTGACTAAACCAACTATCCATTAGTTTAATAACAATGGCTGCAACCGAAAGCAAACTTTTCGCTAGCCACAATACAGTGTGCCCGAAATGTGTGCATATGCATATGCAAAGTGCTCGCAACAAGACAAACAAAATGCTGAGCACCAAAATTGCGACTCTTTTGTTTTCATATACAAATTTTTGCTTTGCACTTGCAGCTGGCATCAAGTATACGGACAACCAGCGCGTAATTATCCTGGTAAAGGATGTTAATGACGAGCCGCCCTACTTCATCAATCGACCGCTGCCGATGCAGGCGGTGGTTCAGCTAAATGCACCGCCCAATACGCCAGTATTTACGCTGCAGGCACGCGATCCGGACACGGATCATAATATACATTATTTCATAGTGCGCGATCGCACGGGCGGACGTTTCGAAGTGGACGAACGTTCGGGCGTGGTGCGCACCCGGGGCACAGATCTCTTCCAGCTGGACATGGAATATGTGCTGTATGTGAAGGCGGAGGATCAAAATGGCAAGGTGGATGATCGTCGATTCCAAAGTACGCCCGAGGAACGTCTATCGATTGTGGGCGGCAAACGGGCGCCACAATTCTATATGCCCGGCTACGAGGCCGAGATACCCGAGAATCAGAAAAAGGACTCCGAGTAAGTAGGGTCGGGATGGCATGGAATATAAATATAGATATATGTATATGCAAATCCATATGTACGAACTGCCAATAAAAGTTATGCGAATTAGAGCACGACAATGTCTGGGCTCGCTCATTGAAATTCCCATGGCAAACAAACAACTGTCAAAAGGCAGTCGAGCGAGTGACAGACGGACGGCAACCCTGGCAACCCTGGCAGCCCGTCGTAGCCTCGCCTCTATAATATATGCATGCATTTTACATATATGACAGCCACAAACTTCATTCGCTAACTGTCACACATCCGCACGCTCCTCTGTGGCCTGTCTTCTTCTCCGTTTTTTTTTTTTTACAGCATCATTTCGGTTAAGGCCAAATCCTTTGCGGACCGTGAAATACGCTATACGCTGAAGGCGCAGGGACAGGGCGCCGGCACCTTTAACATCGGACCCTCATCGGGCATTGTCAAGCTGGCAAAGGAGCTGGACTTTGAGGACCTGCGACAGCCGCATGTCTATACACTGATTGTGACAGCCACCGAGGATTCCGGCGGCTTCTCCACATCCGTTGAGGTAATGTTTCAAAGATAAAATGAACAAATAAGTAAGCGTAGAAGTCGGCAGTATCCGGCTAGGAGATACCCCGAACCCTGCTTTTGTATTGTAAGATATTGCTGAAAATCGGTGCTTTGAGTCCGACCATTATGGAATTTGTGTGTTCATACCAAATCAAGGAAATGGGCCGGAGTTATCCGAGAAGTGAAGTACTGAAAATTTGTATATACAAATACGACAACCTATAGCAAGTTTGGTTTATTTTACTCTCCTAGTTCTTATCTTATGTTTAAAAGCCCAATGTAAGAATTGATTTTCATCGTGTATGGTGCGTAAGAGAATGTATATTTCAAATTTCTAGTCTCCAATTCTTGCGCTTATATAGACGAACAGACGGACTTTACTGGCTGGGTTTTTATCTTGTTCTCTGTCCAAGAATATTTATATTTGATGCCGTAAGAGACGCTTTCTTTGCCTCTTACTTAAATTATCATCAAAAAAATAAATTTACTATTTATACCGAACAAAAAAGGAAAATATAATAATATATCCTTCAACTGCAGCTCACCATACGCGTCACGGATGTCAATGACAATGCGCCCAAGTTTGAGCTGCCCGATTATCAGGCGCACAATGTGGACGAGGATATACCGCTGGGCACCAGCATATTGCGCGTTAAGGCCATGGATGCCGATTCGGGCGCCAATGCTGAGATTGAGTATCTTGTCTCGGATGATCATTTTGCTGTCGACTCCAATGGCATCATTGTGAACAACAAGCAGCTCGATGCGGACAACAACAATGCATACTATGAGTTTATTGTCACCGCCAAGGATAAGGGTGAGCCGGCCAAGTCGGGCACCGCAACCGTGCGTGTCTATACCAAGAACAAGAACGACGAGGAGCCCAAGTTCTCACAACAGGTGTACACGCCCAATGTGGATGAGAATGCCGGTCCGAATACTTTGGTTACCACTGTGGTCGCCTCCGATAAGGATGGCGATAATGTGCGCTTCGGTTTCGTTGGCGGCGGCACCTCCTCCGGCCAGTTTGTCATCGAGGACATTACGGGTGTCATACGGCTGCATAACAAGGCCATCTCACTGGATCGCGACAAGTACGAGCTGAATGTGACCGCCATGGATGATGGTTCCTGTTGTGTCAACGGCGATCAGACCATACACACCTCAACGGCTGTTGTTGTCGTCTTTATCACCGATGTCAATGATAATAAGCCGGTGTTTAAGGATTGCGGTACCTACTATCCCAAGGTGGAGGAAGGTGCGCCCAATGGCAGTCCAGTCATTAAGGTTGTGGCCACCGATGAGGACAAGGGCGTCAATGGACAGGTAAGCGCACGGCTCAAAGCTCAATATCAATCGATATTATTGCTGCGATGGTTTATAATAAAGAGAGTCGCAATAAATCGGTGTTATCGAGAGCAAAGCAATACTTGCATTTCTCGATTACACAATAAGTCGTTAATTTTAATGAACGATAGTTTGTCAACGCATTCGATTGTGTTTTGCATCATTTTGATATTTTGATAATACACTCAATAAATAGAATAATCGATACTTAGCCCCGTTGATGGAGCTTGACTAATCGATAGTTTCTCTTTCTCAGTCTGTTGCTTGTTTTAAAACTGAAACCTCTGCAGCACTGACAATATTAATCGCTTTCCCACACTACACGATATTTGATAGTCACGCTAATAAGTACTAAAGTATATGGACACAATTTCTAGCCGAAAGAAGCCTTTAAGAGCTGGAAAACTTCAAAGCTTAAATAATCGACAGTCGCCATCGATAGTTGCATTTGGAAACTTACCGAATACAAAGCAAAAATGTAGAAAAACATTATTATCATATAATATGATTGGCGTAGTCTAGCATTATTAACAAAATATTATTTAAATATTTAAAAGTAATTTAATCCCCTAGCAATTTACAGTGCTTGAATACCCCCAATAGTTTTTATTTGGGTAGTGCATTTTTACTAAGGCTGCAATTATGAGCGCCTGCTCTTAATTAGGGGTTTGTGACTTTTGGGCCATTCACCAGCACGTTTATGCCAAATAGTATTAATGGCGCGAGTGCGAGAGATTTCGTGTCAAGATTTTGAGCAGAGTTGCCACGCTCAAGTTCAATGCACTTAAAAAAAGGCAGGCGAGCGATGTTGCATGTCGTGCGCCGGTGTGGCAACGCCTCGCAGAGGCTATAATCACAATTGTGTCAATCATTAAGTAATTTTGCATGTTCTTTGTCGCCCGTCAGGTTAAATACTCGATTGTACAGCAACCGAATCAAAAGGGCACCAAATTCACAGTGGACGAGGAAACTGGCGAAGTGTCCACCAACAAAGTGTTCGATCGTGAGGGCGACGATGGTAAATTCGTCTCCGTGACGGTAAAGGCAACTGATCAGGGAGATCCCAGCTTAGAGGGTGTCTGTTCTTTTACCGTGGAGATAACCGATGTCAATGATAATCCGCCACTATTCGATCGTCAGGTGAGCTAACCCAGCTGAAAGCTCAATTGATGATTGGAGTTTTCAATGTTTGTTCCACTCCCTTGCAGAAATATGTGGAGAATGTTAAACAGGACGCCAGCATTGGCACCAACATACTGCGTGTCTCGGCCTCCGATGAGGATGCGGACAATAATGGCGCCATTGTTTATAGCCTGAGCGCGCCCTTCAACCCCAACGATCTGGAATATTTCGATATACAAGCCGAATCTGGTTGGATAGTGCTCAAGAAGCCGCTTGACGTAAGTGTTTGTTTTCCCATTCTATCATGTTCTTGCATTTGTTACCATTTCTTAAGTTTGCGAACCCAATTAACCAAGTTTTATGTTTGTACTTACAAAAGAGAAAACAAAACAATATGAAAAGAAAATTGAAAATATTTTCATTTCCTTTACTAACTAACAATCCAAAACTGAAGCGCTTAGCGCTGCCAGAGTTTCATAAAGTCAGAGTTATCGCGGCTTGCTAGCTAGCAGAAGTTTAAGAATTCAGTTCTAATTATTATTTCAACTGCACCTTTCTTTTGTTTAAGAGACTTTGTGCAAAGCCCTTCCGCAAAACTTTTAGGACGGCTATCAATTGATTTTTTCATTTTTTTTATTGATAGCCCAAAACGAATTCGATGTGAAATGCAGTGCAAGTTTTTTTGTCACATTCGAAAAGAAAAGAGAGATAATAAAAAATCACGCAAACTACATATAAGAAATGCCATATATGCCATATATAAGCGCTTTTATATACTATTTTTAGTTAGTTTTCTATTATTTGTACTTTTTTTTTGTTTAGTTTATAGTGCGTAATTGGCCCAATAATGAAAACTTGCATATAAGTAAAAATGCCAAGCGAATTGATTTTTAACATTTTTTGAAACAAATCAACAAAAACACAACGAAAATACAAATGGTATTAAAATGGGTACGCCGGGTAAATTTAGTTGGACAAAATGGAGCATTATGTAAAAAAAAAGCTTTTAACTGCCAGCTGCTGCTTTTATTTTTGTGGTGTTAGGTTTCTAGGCTTAAGCAAATGTAAAACAAAAAAAAAAAAAAAACAAATACTACACAGGTTTTATAAACTAGCCCCTACAAAAACGATCACGCCTATTTTTGAGCATCGTTGTGCAATTTTTGATGGCTAAAAAAAGAAAATCTTTTAAAAACAAATCATAAAACTACATAACAATTTTTTCAAATGTAGCTTGATTTTGTATGCCAACTTTTTTTTTATTTACTTTACTTTTTGCTAACCCTACAAAATCCCAACAACAAACCCAAATTAATATAAATATAAAAAAATATAAAAAAACCCCCTAAATTAGCAAAACGTTTTTTGTCGAGACTATGCGAATTTTTGAAGGTCTCTTGCTGACAGCTGCAAATATATTTGATTTTTTGATTTTAGCTAGATAATTTTTAAAATTCATATACAAGAAAATGTAAACATTTTGTTGCGCGCATTTTCGCATGCCCATGGAAAATGCGTCGTGTCCAACGTTCATATATATTTTTTTTGTGATATAATTAAACATCAAAACATCTATATGATAGCAGGCGACGTTAATTTATTATATAATTTAACTGCACCTTTTACAATGTTTAATTTGTATAATTTTAAAATTATTTGCGAGTTCAGCTAATTGAGGCGAGTTAATGTTTCTGTTTCTTTTTCATTTACTATTTACATATGAAATGGTGTTATCGATACTGTTGTCAACAATTTAGGGTTGTTATCCTGTAAGTAATTGATTCTTTCTAAAATACATAAATCTAAATGAAGTGTCTGTTATAATTTGCTGTTATACTGTGCTAACCCGGCAACAAATCGATTTGCTCACCAATTTGTAAGCTAACCTCAAAATGAAACTAACTTTCTGTGCTCGCACAGATACTGAATACTTCATGTTGTACATAATCATTATATATCTGGTTTTATCTGGCATCTTTCAAGGGAACTCCAAACAAGTACTAAAATAAAATCTGTCTAGTCCTTTTAGTGAGCAATTCTTCAACGTAAATTTTCCAACGCACTTCATCAGATTGTTCTCAGTTTCTCTTAACCAAAGCAAGAGATAGTCTCGTCAAAATATGCAAAATATAAAATTTAAATGAAATCCCATGCCAATTAAATATTATTAAATTTAAATATGTTTGTCTTAAATCTCCCAAGTAAAGCCTGCCTGTACGTTACATATCCTTGCTTATCCCTAGTGATAGCTTTATTTTAATTTCTCCCAAACTTTTCTTGATTTCTAAGTATTGATTTTCATTTTCATTTCACTTATAATTTATATATATTTATAATGAAATGCTAAATTTCAAACATAAACTGTTAAACTGTAACGACAACGATGCCATTCAAATACGTAATCGTAACGTAATACGCACACAACGTTAACCCGATACACAAACCAAATACGACCCAAACTAACAAACAACGCGTTTTTAACATATCGGCTAACATTTGGCTGTTGACTCAATACCACTGCTACATTTCACATATTCAATCAATGAATCAATCAAAACTCAATCGATCAATCAACAGCGCGATCGTTATCGCCTGCGCGTGCGCGCCTCAGATCGTGGCGACCCGCCCTCATATGCCGATGTCGATGTTGAGTTAGATGTCGTCGATCGCAATAATAAGCCGCCCATTTGGGATAAGAGCATTTATGGGCCGATCCATATTCGCGAGAATGTAACTGTGGGTACGGTTGTAACATCGGTTAAGGCAAGGTTTGTATAGCCAATACACTACACTACACTACACAACAAACAAAAATTAAGTACTACCACAGTTAACCCATACATACTAAGTAAATGAAGCAAGTTGAAGTTCCTAACAACAACAAAGCCTAACAGCTGTGAGCTTAACATAGTTAGTTATTCTTCTTATTTTATTTTTGAAATGTAACAGCATTTTGGCTAACATAGGCATAAGCTTCCGAGTTTGAATTCGTTTCATCGAGTTGCATTCGTTTGAGTAAGATTTTATCATACATAACATTAACATTGCTATGTTATAGCTAACAGTGGCAAACTGTGTCTTGGCTAAATGTGCTCAACGAACGAAATGTACTCGCTTAACGAAACTTTGCTCACTTAACGAACATAGCTTTAAGCTTGCCAGTACAAGTATTTTTAACATACGGTCTCTTTCTGTTACTGTCTCTCGTCTAACATAACGTTTACATTTTTAACTAAAATTTTACGATACAATATTTTTGTGGTCTATCGTAAAAGCTCAACATTTTTTTTCAACCATCAACAATGTCAAAAAAAAAATGTAAATTTGACACATTCGAAAAAATGTCTAAATGCCTATATTTATAGGCATCCAACAAATTGTGATAAACAAATTTCTAATGCTGTTGTTGGTGTTTGTTTTGAGCAAACTTTTTGTATGCCAACCTAATAAAGACGGTTGTCGGGTACTTTTGCATTTTGCTGCAACTCTCACCCACCTTACACATACCCATTGGAATTGCTTACCCAATGCTCTGACTTCTCTCCACCCTCTCAGTCAACAAACCCAAAAACACACGGTAAAATGCTTGAAATAACTGTGAAGTCTCGTTGCCACAAAATTCGGTGTTGGTTTTAATTGGGAAATTGAGAATCTAATTAAAATTGTATTTTATACACGGTTGCAGTATTAGTTTAAGAACTAGGAAACAACAAGGTAAATACGCTATATAACTGAAAATATATTTATATATATGTATTAACAAAGTGTTCAAAAATGTTAAAAAGCAATAGTCGAAAAACAACAAATTAAACAAAACCATATTCAAAAAAATATAAAGTATGCTAAAGAAAAATTGTACTACTCGAAATGCACAAAGCCCTTTTTAAGTTTCATTTGTTATGCATTTAGTTTCTATCATATCTGAAATACTCTATAAATAACAATTAATATATTTGTATTTATGCTCAAGTCAATTATTTCTAATATGTATGCGATTTTCAGTTACTGTCCAGAACAGCAACAACATTTTTTGTTTGTTTACATTTTGAAGGCTAGGGTCGAGACTTTATTTGATAAAAATAGAAATAAACTAGAAAAAATAATTTGCACTGCGTGAAAAAAAAAACCTTTTGAAAAAAGGCATAAAAATATACAAAGAAACCTTAACAGTTTCTAAAATTTTGATTTTTAAGTTTTAATGCTGGCTGTATTCTTCCACATAAATAAGGTGTTGGTTACGTGTATTCAAAACTTTTGATTTTTCGAAGAAAAAAAAACCTGTTGCTTCATTTTGTTTTCCAACAACAACAACTTTTTTTAAGACTAAAATTTTTTTGTATTTTGCATTTTTTCCTAAACTTTAACGACGCGTCTGTCTTTTTGCCAATGCTCGCTTGATTTTGAAACGTGCTTGTCTTTTTTGAAAAACCAACCAAAAAAAAAAAAACGAAAATCAAAAATGAATATGTATTCAAAAAACAGCGCGAGACATACAAATTAGAGGCGATGGCCCAAGACAAGGGCTATCCGCCATTATCGCGTACGGTCGAAGTACAGATCGATGTGGTCGATCGTGCCAACAATCCCCCCGTTTGGGACCATACCGTTTATGGGCCGATCTATGTCAAGGAAAATATGCCCGTTGGCGGCAAAGTCGTCTCGATCAAAGCCAGGTCTGTTAGTGCAATGTTTTACAAAACAAACAAAATAAAAACTCACTATAAGAAAATTGCCATACCATTTTGCTTAGTTACTTTTGATAAGCTACATTAATATTTACATTTTTTCATAGGTGTTTAGTTTTAGTTCTTGTAATCAAATCAAACCAAAAAAAAAAAAAAAGACTCAATCATTTTCATTGTCATTTTTCGGTTTTTGGTGTTGTTTCACGTAGTTGTCATTATTTTTTTATGTGTGTTCTGAATGTTGTTCTAGATATTTAGTCTACTCTCTTAGGCATTAAGAGTACTCTTGAGAGTTTGAAAATCAATTGAATTGAATATTAATTTATTTCAATTAAATTTCATTTTCGTACTCTCAACGAGTCATAGTTCCCTTTGCTCCCTATTATCCCATCACTATATATGCTGCACTCAAACCACAAGCACCAGTAAACACATTCCCCAAACTTAGAAATCCGCACAAATCACACGAAATGCACAATTTTTTATTTTTGTATAGACTGAGTACAAATCCAAGTTTTAACTCCGCAAAAGCTGTATATTAATCGGTATAAGCGTATGAATAATCACAATATTATAAGCATAAGAAGCTTGGGGGTTAATAACTAAAATGTAGCGAGAATTCCATGTAAATAAACTGTTGGCGCTTTAGTTTAGTTTAATGAAACGCAATTCCCACTGCTTGATGACCTTTGCTGATAAGCTGACGATTCCAATTTAAATTGGGGTCAAATGTTGCTGGCGCCCAGCGTGGGTGGCCACAATTGCCACTACTTGATGACCTTCACTGTTGATGAGCCGCCAGCTGCATTTTAAATTACCTGGCCAAAACCACTTTGACCCATGCCCAGTCCGTATACAAGTACTTTTCATATTCTGCAATGATCATAGACCTGAGAGATGGCGAGGGCTTCCGAATGTAAAGTTTATTTAAATAAAGTTTTGTTTTTCATAATTGCAATTAAAAACTTGAAGTAGCGCACTTAAATGACTTTTGGCTTGCAGTACGCTTCTTAGCCTGTTCTGTCGCCCTCTCTCTCTCTCTCTCTCTCTCTCTCGTTTCCTTTGGCTCTATCTCTCTCTACCTCTCTCTACCTCTCCCTCTCTCTCCCTCTCTCTGTCTCTCAGGGCAGCATTAACATAACGAATAGAGTTTTATCCTCGTGGCAAGCCAACCACATGGCTCTGACGTTTTAATTATGCGTCAGTTTGCGGCCAGTGGCAGTCAGTACTTTTTTTCCCAGTCTCCATTTTACTTTCTTTTATTTTTTTTTTTTATTACTTGTTTAATTTTTTTTATTGTTAGCACTAAAAGCAATGCACTTAAAGCGTTCTTAACCCAAACGCGCTTCTGGCGCATATTGCACATACGCACCATGGCGCATCGGCCACAAATTATTGCACCAACTGCATCCACCTTGCTACAGTTAGTTTAGTGCTGTCTAAGTAAATTTCATTTATATGCTAAGTATTTAGGAAATTGCCAACTATTAAACGTGCTTGGGCTTACGTTACGACGTTTCGGTTTTCTTACGTTACGTTGAGCTCGTGTAAAATACGTTTTTTATTTTCTTACTTTTCTGTTTGTTATTACTTTACTTGTTTTACTTGTGTTTCGTTTTATTCCTTTTTGCAATTATCTTGTCCCAGCACAAAATTGTCAACTTTTTATATTACTCTATATATATATATATAAAATAGATATATATTTGTGTGTGCGTGTGCGAGTGTTTGTATAGCCAAGATGCTATTAAGCAAGCCGTCTGCCAAAGGAAGCTGCGTGCAAGCGGAACAACATGGGCTGCGTTTTCAAGTGCGCGTATCTCATAATAAATGTGTTTGTTGTCGTTGTTTGTCATTGTTGTTGGTGTTGCTGTTGTTGTTGTTGTCTCAGTGCGCTTAATGCGCACACTGTCAAGTGTTTGCCGAGTGTAACGTGCATTTAAGCAGGCAACAAGAACAACAACAACAACAACAACCACAACAACAGCGATGCGCGTTAAGGTAAAAAACTAGGGTCACACTTAACAGCAGAACTTAACGATAAATGTTAGCCGCATAGAAGCTGTAGTATAGAGTGTTATACTGCTTATTGAGTGTATATATATACTCTGTTCAGCAAGTAAAAATAAGTATATTGGCTTTGTGAAAATGTTCGATCAGTCCGCTTTTTTGACTCTCTCTCTCTATTTAAGCTGTCTTGGAGAATATTTTAGGATTATTTTTGCCATGCCTACCAGGCATATACATATACCTGTATGTACACTAAATCTCCCACAGTTTTAGATCTACTCATTAGCTTAGCAGGTCGACTTCTGATGATCTCCAAAGATTGTTTCCTCTCAAATGCCTCAAAATGCCCAACAGTATACAAATCTTTATTTCCCAATGACACAGCCGAAAAGCTGTTGTCTTGGGCTTACACTTTTGCAGCACAAATTTTCTTCGATCTATTTGAAGCTTTTATCACACTGTGAACAGAGTATTGAGCTGTCGGACTGATTCGATTGCAAGGTTTTTACTTATTTTTGCCTTATGTTTACTTTCCATTTGACATTATATTCTGTATTTTAGCAACTAGCCCTGAATTACTATATATAGATAGCCATAGCGTGTTTAGGCGTTAACTGCAAACCAGGCGTATTATTCTCGTTAAATTAAAAACCCAAGTGCTCAGAAAACCAATTCAATAAATACACAAAATACACTGAAAATGTTTCCACAAAATTAGTTTTGATTTTGCAATACAAACGAACGATACCAATATATACATATATATATAAATATATATAATACACAAAAGAACACTCACAGCGAAAACGAAGGAAAACATTTCATGCAATTCACAAATTATTCCCAACCAAAAGCAAATCCCCAACCGAACCAAAAACACCTCACACATATTTTTTGCTACCGATTTTTTGCCATATATATCCGCCTTGTCCTTTCCCCATCATATTTATTTTGGCGCTCGCCCTTGGCAGCAACAATTTTGCGCAGTCTGACAGATTTCTTGCAATTTTTTAGGGCAGCTTCCAAAGTTTTTCTTTGCTTTTCCGTGTGTAATTTTTTTTCTTCCATTTTGGTCGCTTTTCTGTCAGCTGCAAGTGTTGTCCAAGTGCAAATAAAATTTATTTTTTGTTTGTTTGCTTCTTTAGCCTAATTTGTTTTTCATTATCTGCGCCTCGCCCACTGTACACAAAAAGCAAACAATCATCTGTCGGCCGTGTGTACTTCCCCCAAAATCCATGCCTCCACACACCCCCCACCTACCCTCGCCAGAGCTAACCAGTCTAGAATTCAGTCCAACAACTTTTTGACACTCGAATGGCAATTAAATGTTTTGAAGCCATTTTTTTTTGCGCCTTCTTATCTTTTTCTCTTCTTTTGCGTTTCCGTTTCGAGCTGAGAGTTTTTCTTGGCTTTTCCTGTTATTTCTTTTGGTTTATATTTGCACGAAAGACGCTCGCAAAAAGGAAATTCTCCAATTTGAGGCGCAATACTTTGCTTTTTTTTCGTGTGAAGCAATCGAAAGTCTTGAAAATACATTTTTGCTTTTCTTTTGTGTCATAAATCAAATTTTTGTATTTTGATATGTTGCATGCGAGTGTGCGAGTGTGTGTATGTGTGTGTGCGAGAGTGTGTGTGTGTGTGTTTGTGTGTGTGCGTGTCACTCACATATCTTGTAAACTTCATTTAGCTTCTACAACATACTGTTTATTTTTGCAAGGGCATTTAAGGAATTCTACAAATTCTTAATGCTTCTCAATACATTTTTTATGATCATCTAACTAAATACTTTATAATTTGTTTTTTGAAAAAGTTTAAAGTATTTCAACATCTGTAGCATAAACTCATAATTTCTATAAATAACCCATGTCATGTAGTTGAACTCTTTCTACACTAACAACTATCTCTGTAAATGAATGCCAACCAAAGCCATAGCTAATATATACTTAATATTTATTCCACCTGCCGCCAACGTCTGCAGTTCGGGCATTGAGGGCAATCCGACGGTTTTCTATAGATTAATGCCTGGGTCAACGGCACAGACGAACAAGTTTCATACGTTCTATCTGCAACAGAGACCGGACAATGGTGACACCTGGGCCGATATAAAGGTCAATCATCCGCTGGACTATGAGAGCATCAAGGAATACAATTTAACCATACGTGTGGAGGTAAGTGTGAACAGTTTTCAATTAAAACTTGTAAATCGTTTGCCTAAACAAACCCAAAAAAAAAAAAAAAAAAAAAAAACAAACAAAAAATCTAAGGAAAATAGCGGAAAAGCCAAAAAATCTACAAAGTTGTTCAAGTTTTCAAGTTCTGCTGCGCTCAATTAAGCGCTCAGCTTGAGCTGATGGCGGCGCGTGTGTTTGACTTTTGCATTTGAAAATGACTACGAAATACGTTTGTAATTATTTTATTTGAAAAGTTTTAATTACTTGCGCGACTTTGAGGCCACCTCGCGCCCGTGTCCGTGCCCAGCCCTTCGCTTCACAGCATGCAAATGCAGAGCGCATGCCAAGCAATTTGACTTTGAACAGAGTTCAGCTTGATTTAGTTCTGGCATGTGGCAATCGAGCAGCTGATTGACTGATTGACTGCCTGACTGGCTGGCTGTCAGTTCGCAGCGATTCTCAATTGAATTTCAAGCATGGCCCAAGTTTTAGCTCGAGCTCTCCAGCTTCAGTGCAGCTCATTAGTGCGACCATTCAGCTATGCTAAAATTATTGACAAATTGTTGCAGCTGCTCAATAAATTAAACATGACCAGAACTGGCGATGCGCTGCAGTAACAAATGCCACAAATGATGTGCCCGTTGCCCCCAAAGGCAAAGCACACAAACACATTTATATTTGTTGTGTGTGTGTGTGTGTGTGTGTGTGTGTGTGTGTGTGTGTGTGTGTGTGCTATTAAAATGCAATTGCATTCACATTTAATGCAGCTAATTAAATATCCCTCGACATTTCATTAGTATTTTCTTTTTTGCACACAGCAAATCTAATGCACAACACAGCGCTGGTTGTTGTCCTTTTTGTTGCCACAGCACAAATGTCAACGAAATATTCATATTAATTTTTAAGAGTTTTGCGGTCACTGCCCATGTTTAAATAAATTCTAAATAATATCAAATATTAATTAAAAAATGTATAACATTTTTTAAAAATGTTTTGCGGTTAACTACAAATGTTTGCATGGCTTCGAAAGGCATTTAAAATATTTATTAAATATTTGAACTAAAAATGTAGATATGTGCTTATTAAATGTTTAAAATTAAATGTTGCAAGTTGAGAGAGTTTATATAAATATACGCATCAGCCTGTTATTCGTTATGTTAACAGGCTTCATGCTAGCAAGCGTCATGTTAACAGGCATGTTGTGAACAGGCGTCATGTTAACTGGCATCGTGAAATGACACTCAACTATGAACGAACGTTTCATGTTACCCAACACTTTTACAATCACAGCTAAGCTACAATTTATGGAGAATTGAGTTAAATTCGATACATATATAGTTTCTAACAGTGCCTGTTATAAGTCTATCATTGCCCACATACTTGTTTGTGCGGCAAGTTTGAAGCACCACGCTCAATTGATATTTGAGATTTGTGTATTTATGCAAATCCCTCAGCAAATAGTTCGATTGCCTAATCAAACTTTGTCAAATTTTGCTGCTGCCTGCAGACTCTAATTAACTAGCAAACTAGCAGATACATATTTGCCCAATAACAAGATGGCAAAAATAAATAATTCATTTTGGAATTGGCTCAGCTCTCACTTTCTGTCACGTCTCTCTTTGTCTCCCCTACACTTGCGCATCGCCCTGTGATTGGGTTTCGTGTGCTGTCATTCACTGTAAACAAATGTTTCACATATGAGCATATCTTTGATTAATATACAAAATACAAGCAAATAAACATAGGTATTACTACAGTCATTGAGGGGTGGGTATTTCCCTTGGGCCGTCTGCGGTTCATTGGCAAATACAATGAAAATTGTGGATAACACAGCATTTGCCTTGATTGTGAGAAAAGTCTAATCAATTGCATAATAAGGCAGACGATGTGTTGATTGATAGCTTTTCCTCAATCAGTCAAAATTGGACTCTGTTTTACATGATCAAAAGTTTGCCACATTAAAATACCTTTAGGAGCAAACCGAAAAAAAATTATTTAAAGAAATTAAAAAAAAAAGGCGTATAAAATTAATGACATTAAATATTTTACAGCTTTGTTGACAGGATTCCGGAATCAGAATTTCCCTTTTTTTTACTTGCAAATGCATATTTTTGTTTTTTTTTTTTTTCAGCAAACGTTGCTTGGCATATTTAAATAAAAATGTGTTCAATTATTTCGTTTGCGTATTAAGAATGAAAATATTTGTACGTATTACGTACGTATATTATGTACTAATTAAAAGTGTGGACATGTTAAAATTTAAATTACATTTTTAAATATTTGAAGTGGCAGAATTTACAATTTTCCCTTTTTTTGCATTTTTTTCTTCTTCTTCTTTTTTGCAACATTACAGAACAACGGTGCCCAGCAATTGGCATCGGAAGCGACCGTTTACATAATGCTCGAGGATGTTAATGACGAAATACCGCTATTCACCGAACGCGAACAGGAAACGGTGCTGGAGGGCGAACCGATTGGCACCAAAGTGACACAAGTGAATGCCATTGACAAGGATGGCACATTCCCAAATAATCAGGTGAGCAATGCCGAGCGCGAATAAATTGAGTGAAGGTAGCGCATCCTTTTAGCCTGCCAGATACGATGATAAGAGGGCTGCGGCACGTAGCGGGTTAAGCAACGCCAGCTGCGGAAATGCCAGCCGATTGTTGGCAAATGAATGACTGTGTGAAGCATGAAGCTCGCGACACAAAAAAGCGACACAGAGAAGGGTTGCCAATTTGAGGGTGGATGCGCCAAAGTTTAAAGCGTCATTTGCTTAATGTGCTGTAAAACGCTTAAATTTCTAATGCCTTAACAGTTGAGCATGTTAAATGCCTGTTAACATTACATTACTAGCTACGTTGGATTAACACAGTTCTTTGGCCAAGTTAGACTTAACACAATTCCTTAACAGTCGAGCATGTTAAGTCAATGTTAACATAACATTATATAATGCAATTGTTCAACAGTTAAGAATGTTAAGTGCATGTTAACATTACATAGCCACTTAATTTTTAGAGCGTTACTTAACATAGAAATCTTCAAAAGAAACACAAGTTCTTCCTTAAATCACAATAGTCCGCATTGCAGTCTAACCGCAAGAATTTAATAATGTTTTACTTTAGAGCGGTACGCCTTTTTTTTAATTGTTTGTTTTTTTTTTTTTTACTTTTCTTTTTGCCGCTTCCGTCGCCTTTGGCTCATCTGGCAGCTGAGCTTATAAATGTCAAAGAGTTGCCACTCTTTTTTTGTGCTGCAGTATTTTCACACGCTCTTAAGTACACTAAGCCCTTAGTGAAAGTTCAAAGCGTAGAGCACAAGGCAAAAAAAAAGTCAAGAAAAAAAAAAACAGAGAACTAAGAAGATAAAAAAGAGGAAGACAAAAAGCGACCCACAGTCTGTGCCGTCCTTTATGCGTCTGACAGCAGACCTTGAGGGCAGGACGTGAAAGGGACGCCAAGGCCCGAAGCTTTACTCGCGATTATAATAATATGGTACTTGGCTGACTGGTAAATGGTAATGGGTAATGGGTAATGGGTAACTGGTAAATAGTAACTGGTAACTGGTAACTGGTAACTGCTAACTGGCCATGGCGATGTTGGACATTCTCTTGGCCACATTTCGTGTCCTGCAGCCAAGTAATTTGCATGTACGCGCAAAATGTCCGCACTAATTAGCGTTTTTCATTTATAGCCGCAGCTATACAGACACGACAAATTTGTTGCAAGACGGGGCGTCTGATTATCATTAACATCATCATCATCATCATCATCATCATTAGCAACAGCTAGCGCCCCTTTAATACGCCTTACAGTATTTAAAAGCTGCGCAGTTTTCGCTTGATTTAAATTCTTTGCAATTTCCTCTTTGAACTCGACATGTTTTAATTAACTTCCTGACAATTTTTGATTTGTCAACAAAATTTTATTATTATTTTTTTATTTTGTCTAACGTTTATGTATTGCATGTACTTGCAGGTCTACTACTACATCGTCGACTCGCCACGTAACGAGGGCAAAGAATTTTTTGAAATTAATTTGCAAAGCGGCGAAATCTTCACCAAAACCGTGTTCGACAGGGAGAAGAAGGGCGCCTACGCCCTCGAGGTAGAGGCACGCGATGGTGCGCCCTCTGCGCGGCCGAACAGCAATGGACCCAATTCAGGTAAGTGCCCCAACAATTCCCTGTTCATTCTCCATCAAATGCCGAACCTGTCGTTTGGCGCTGGTGTTCGTCTATCGTTAAAATTTTCATTTAAGCTTTTATGTAAATTTTCGGGTACACAGAATGAAACTTTGACTTCGTTGGGCTAGAGAAAATTAAATACTTGTGTGTTTGCATTGAAACCGATTGTCAGCTGTCCTTTAAGTTGCTGTAGATATATTTAGAAATCTGTTAAATATGCACTAGCTATCGATATAATTCGTCAAGCAATCAACTGTGGCATCTAAGGGATGTAATAATACGTGGACAAGAGGACCGGATGACTAGGATATGTTTATGTATTTATCCATATATAAATTATATACCCTTTAAAATATTGAAGCCAGGAGCTTTTAGCCAGCAGTTGTTGCTGTTGCTAAACATCCTGCTTGTCAACCGAAATTGGCAATAGGTTTTCTTCTCATTTTTCTGTTTTTGTTTTTGTTTCTGTTGCTGACATTTTGGCTATTTGCATTTGAGCGCAGCGTGTTTGCAGCATCCCAAATCGAATATCTACGACAAATATTGACCACGTGGGCAACCCAAATAGGTCACAGGCTGTGGCTAGTGTGTGTGCCTATGTGTGTGTGTGTGTGTGCGTGTGTGTATTTAGGCGAGTGCATTTTGGCTTTTATTGGACACGCAGTTGCCCACATTCGCGGGCTGCTGTTGGCAAATAAATTTGCATTTAACGAAAAACAGTTGCAAGCCAATATCATCAGCAGCAGCCACAAAATGCGTTTTATTTGAAATTGTTCAGTTAATAGATATTGGTCGGTTCAGTGTTGAAAAACGAGAGAGACAGTTCAATATGTTTATGAGCACTGCGAATATGCCCATAGCTTCTTCTTATCAACAAATAACACATTTCCACGCAATAATAAAAAGAAAATCATTTCAATATATTATTATTGATTTTTAATTAAATACACTGCGAGGCTAAACTAGTGTTGTAAAAAACTAAACAAATCCAAAATAAATATATATTTAAAAAAAATGTTATAGCATTCACGAAAGCGCATTTTATATTAATAACTGATAATTTTACACAAATTTTGCTGCCAAACAGTTTTCTGTGTGGTTGTTTTATTAAATTATGCGTGGAATAAATTACATTTCAATTTTAGTTTAAAGTTGAAAGTTTTTTCAAGATAATATCATAAAATTTAAATTGCAACTAATATATTTTTTTACTGCGCATTTGCGTAAGGTTGTACTTTTTTTTTCAATTTAATATTTCTATTCTTATATTTCAGTTTATTACATTGCCTCGTATTAAAAATCAATTCAAAATCGAATGTAGCTAAGTTCCTAAATGGTTTGTTTTTTGTACATAAAAACACAAAACTTTCCCTCTATTTATTTTAAACATTCCAATTTCAGTATGGTTATTACTAAAAAACATTCAAGGGCCATCTGTTGGTTTTCTAATTTCGGGATGGAACTTAAAAAATATATTAAAATATATATAAACTAAAAATCAGTTCCATATAACATGCATTGTGCGCCTGTGACAAGTGTTTGCCCATAAAATTGTGCGCTAAAAATAAACAATTAGGCGCTGGTATAAATGGCATCACACACACAGGCACACACACTCACACACACGCGCGCCCGCACACCCACACACATCGACAAATAGCAGTTTTCTCGTGTTTCATTTAGCTTTACTGATTTTTGGGCTAGTATTGTTATTCGCGGTATTTGCTGTTCATTAAAAATTGCCCCTGAAATGGCAATCAATTTTCTGTGTGCTTTGCTATACTTTTTCCTCATTTTTGTATTTTTGTATTTTCTATACATTGGGTATTTGTTTATTTTGCTCGTTTTGTGTTGTATTCCTTGTCTTTTTTTTATGTCCTTGCCAAGTGCTTTTCGATTGTTTAATATGTCGCTGAGCCGCACATAAGCGCTGCTAAATGGAAACGAAAGCGAAAACGAGTGGGAAAAAACGCGTAGCATACTTTTCCGCGCGCAACATTGAAAATGATGTGCAATCAACACGCGCCAAAGCCGGCAACAACGAGTCCACAGTCACAGGCTTTTGGCCATGAAAAGCGAGCACGAAAATTAAAAAGTTTTTCTGTTTTTCTGTTTGTTTGCGGCACTTTGTCGGCGAAGGGGCTCGACAGTTGGCTGGTTGGCTGCATGTAAATTACAACAGTTGTCGGACTAACCGAAGCTTACAAATATTGATACATATATTCGCACAACAGCAACAAAAAGTTGTGCATTGTGTGTGTACTGACTCTGAGGGGATAGCAGTTGGGGACGGAGGCGTGGCAACAGCTTGCGGCCCGCCAATTTTGTAGCAGCCGGATCGAAAAGCACGTAAGCTGTTGGCCGTTTCTCATAAGCTAGTTATAAACAGTTGTTAAATGATTGGGGTGTGTGCCATGAAATTCAAGCGGCAGATAGCCAAGAAATATGATAGCATTTTCCCTTTGCAAATTAACTGAAATTTGATAAGGAAACGGTCTGAAGAAGCAGCTATAAATATAAGAGCCTTTCGAGTGGAAATCCAGCTTATTTTCGACAAAGTATTGAGTCTTAAGATTAAAAGGATTTTATTACTAATTCCAAATTTGATTTGATTAAATTAAATTAAATTGATCTGATAATTAAGTTCATTTATTGGCAATTTTAATTTATATAATTTATATTGCTGCATATTTTTTCTGATTTTGTTTCTTGATTGATGAGAAAAGCCAACACTTTAAAGTGATTTTTTGTATTTGTTTGCTTTCGTTTTTGTACTATTTTTTTTTGCCATGCTTTCACTGCATTTGTTAGCTATTTTCTCATTTCTCGCTTTCATCCTAGACCCCTCTGTCTCTCTCACTCGGTCACTCTTCATTTGATTGCGTTCCGATTGTGTCCTTGCTGTGGGTCTTCCCTACGCTTGCATTTGCACACAATGCGACTTTGTTTGCCTTAGCAATTGTCTGGCTTTCAGTTGGCTTGTCCAGTATTTTAGAACGGGTATCAAATACGGTTTCATTTAGATGATCAAAGGTTCGATACCTGGACACAACAGAGTTGAATTATTTTACTCTTCTGTTTGCCAAAGTTCCAACTGAATCACAAGTCAAATCGTAGGCTAGCCAAAATTATTTGGCTAAAGTAGACAAGAATATTCTTTGTATCTGTTTATCTGTAACTTCCAGCCACAAATACAGCTATCAATGGCTTGTTTTGACTTTGTTATCTGCTCTACGTGCCCTTTTTTTATTTATGCATACTTTAAGGCTTAACGCCCCCGCACGTTCCACATTTCACAGCAGACTTCACCCATGCGGCCTCTGTCTGCCCTCGGGCATAATAACAACCACGACAACAACAATGAATATGAGTGGGCAGTGAGTGTGGAGGAGAGGTAGAAACAAACATGACAAATGGCAGAAATTTGGAATTTTTAAGTTGTGGCGATTGAGCGATTGTGTCTGCGTCTGGGTCTGGCAACCCTGCGGCGGTCGGGCAGCCAATTCTTCAGTTCTGATTCACCTGTCAGCAAGCACAGGCTAAACGACAATAAATATACATAAATTATCGCTAGAAGCATATATGTATGCAATATATGTTTGCATTTTGCTGACAGAGAATTATGAGCTACACAATATTCAATGTAAGAGTTATTTAAAAAGAATATTTGCAAGAGTTCCAAACGCGTTTTGATTTGTTGTGAATTCAGATAATATAAACAAATTTATTGCTGCCCGAAAAATATTAATATACTTAAAAATAATTCAAGGAATTTGCTCCAAATCCTACGAAAACAAATATACTCTTTAGCATAATTTCTGACATATATTTTTAATTATAAACTTTATCATGGAGTTAGTTCAAAAATGTTAAAAATCTTAAAATTCAATGAGCGGTTACTTCAATTAAAACGAATGTGAAATTGAGAATATTATACATATTTTTGCAACTAGCTTGTTAGACCACAATGTTAGGCAACTAAATATCTTCCAATAAAGATGAATTGATCGAAAAATTGAGCCACTGCTAAATGCAAATGAAAGCTCTTTAGCTTAACTGGAGGGGCTGGCCATCAAAATTGGTACTCGTAAAAATCGCATTATATAAAAATAAGCAAAATTTGCATGAGACACTTGACTGAAAATGCCTACCAACAACAACAACAATGGTAAACAATGCCCAATTGTTGTTACACACATCATAAATTTCAAGCAGAATATCTAGAACCTTAACGAGCCCCAGGCAATGCCAAAGGGCAAACCAAAACTGAACTCTTTCGCATTTGGCCAAGAAGTTGTTATTAGGCATTGTTGTTGTGTTGGCTGTTGGCCTTTTCGGGGCATCAAATGTTTCGTATAGAAGTTTCTCTAATTTCTGGGGCGGAAATAAGTGCTCGTAAAAAATGCTGGGGCTCGTAAAAATTGCCAGGCTGGCCAAATTCATAGATGTATATACATATATATAAATATATACCAACAATAACGCATACGCCGCGTTGTACGGCAACAAACAAAAGCCATAACCAATTTCAGCCATGCTCTTAACGGTCTCCCCCCCTCTCCATCTCACTCTCTCTGTAGCTCCTCCTCGCTCTAATATCACATTTCGATATCCGATAATGTTTTCATGTGCCTCAAGCACATTTCGTTTATTGCCACGCCCGCTCGACACTTGGCCTTTTTGGGTACTTTTGGCATTTGCAAATAGTTTTCTGGTTTTGGCTTTAAATTCTGCCATTCTCAGGTCTTGAATGTTTTTCCAAATGCATTTGGCCTTGCTTTTTAGAGGTCGTAAATTTCGTGTCATCAGTCATTGGACTCTTTGGGGTCATTTGTCTGGCTAGAAAGAACGATACATGCCGCACGCAGTTCATCATTTATGATCGATGCTGCATTGGAGTTGTATGTGTGTGTGTGTGTGCCGATAAACACACATAAGCAAACACACACATACATTGTTGAATATTTTGCAATTTTGTT